CACTCCCTGCTCTAGATGTGCCCTCACTGGCCGAAAGTAGAACTGAAGAGCTGGACAGGTTTCTTTCCTGCTGCTGCTGAGGAGGACGTCGTTCAAGGAAGGAAACGTGCGCCAACTTATTGTTTGCATAGAATATCTCCAGCCTAATCATGCACAATGTTTATCTCTTAACTCAGGTAAATGTATGTATTGACTTCTTCGATCATTCCACCGTTTAATATTACCGAGACTTTCGGCTAAGCACCGTATCTCACCATCTTGGTCCTTAACCGACTGATTAACAATACGACTTCTTCTCTCGAGCTGTTGCAGCATATCTCGTAGCTGACTGGCATCTGCTGCAGATAACACAACGTCATCAACAGATATTACATGCCACTAAAGTTAATCCAACCCCTCCAGATCATCCTAAGGAACACCTGCTGTCCCCTAGTTTCATGCAATTCTCTACGAAGGAAATGTCGAACAGCGTAATGATTGTGAAGCTTGAGAAGATCACAGATATAATGCTGATAATGAGTACAGTTATTAGTAATAGCAATGCCGAAGTTGCATTATTGTACTATCAAATCCTATCTGGGTGTACACTGACGTATTACAAAGTCATTATCAGTCGAACAGGCGACTGCGGCACAAGTACTTTGAAGTAATAAACGCATTTTGAATTCATTTCATCGCTTTATTCAAAACGAATGAAAATAGAGAAGCTGTGCACTCACCGAAATAGCAGGGTATTTTCTTCATGCTTCTCGTAACGAGCATAACTGGCAATGGCCTTCAGCGCATGGTCACCAAGTCGTGAAAATGTCTCCAAGCGACGAAGAAACGCGTATACAATGTGAATGTCCTGAAAACAATTAGAGCGATTAAGCCTCTATTCAGAGCAATGGATGTGTTTGAAAAATTACGTTTATTAGAACACAGAAAAACATTTAAACCAGGCGCACTTCGTGCGAAAACGAGTGATGGAAGAAACTACAAAAAAAGAAATCCCGGTAGTAAACCCCATAATAATGGGGAACCATTGCCGAAAGACAACCCTGATTCCAGGATATATGAAACAAGAACAGAATGTCCTAAGGAAGTAACTGTAGTAAACGGATGTAGAGAAGCAAAATTCAGAGCAAATGACTTAACGAAGAGCGAAGACTTTACCTCCGGAGTTCTTCCGCATGTTGGACACGTGAAGGCTCGCAACGTCGGCCCGTCCAAACGAATGCTGTCAATCATGGTTCACGTCCGAAGGAGTGCCATCATCTAAAGACAAGAAACGTCAAAACATTTCACATGCATAAATGCGGACTCGCGTTATGGTTGCAGGGCAGAGGTTAGCCGGAAAACCAGACTCATACTCGCAATACTTCAAACATTTCGCGAACGGCAGACGCGAAAGCGGGTGCTTCGATGGCTCTTACACAGTTTTCGTAGATGACGCTGTTTATCTGCGACTGTTCCTGCAGCACCACCATGCCGTTATTTTAAATACTGCATTGTAGTCTTCAGGAAGACGTAGTAGGCTTTAAATACATTTGTCAATCTGCGTCCCATTCTCAACAGAGATCGATGAGGAAGGCAAAGTCAAAGTTCCAGAAGAAAGGAAACAAGAATATAGAGAAAAGAATGCAAGAAAATGATAACAGAACGACGATAAGCTTATCACAAGGAAGAGAAGATGAGAAAGATGACGACGAAGATGAAGAAGAGGAAGAAAAGGCGACGACGGCGAACAAGAACGCATTTCAAAAAACAAATTTCCGATTCAGGACCACAGTTGATCAAATGAAGACTTTCTTCAAACATGGTTAGGACATACAAACGTAAAACAACCAAAAACACAAAAACCGTTAGAACACCCACAAATACATTAACGTTGCCTTACGCCTGAATATCTTAATCATGCATCAAGAAAATCTTCAGCCGATATACTCTATGTCTGGAATCAAAAAGTCCTTCAAGAAGTACCTTTTTCTTGTTCGTTTTCGCCATCGTCATCCTCTTACCACAACTCCATCAAAAAACTCAACTCTAGAAGAAGGCCGATTTGAAAGATCAATCAATCGCCACAAGATCAACAGAAAAAGCATTATCTTTCAGATTCTCATGAACGATTACTGAAAAAATATCACGCCAATCTGAGGAGACAGCGATGCCATGCATATCTAAGAAATATATACTTCTTTTATCCTGTTGCACTGAAGACGACGCCAGTTGTCGAACAATCATTCCACCTGGATCAAATGAATATGCGATTACTGCTCAGTCTTTTTTATGTTACCTCAATTCTAATGAGATATTCCCATCTTATTTGAGGTCTTCATAGCATTCGTCTTCCATCAAGTATTGTCTTGAATAATAGTTCCATAAGACGGCTATCTTCAATTCGCTGGCAATGATCCAACCATCTTAAACGCCTTGTTTACAGCCAACTGATCGCTTTCGTGGGATATTTTAACCTTTTTCTGACACCCGGTTGCACCGGGTTCACTGCAGTCTCCAGGCCATTGTACAATATGTTTAGAATACAGGATCGCTACATCCATAATTTTGTGTTATCGGCAGCATTCTTGTCATTTCAAAGCTTGAATAAGTTGTTGGTCACTGCTACCGCGAACTTACAGCATCTCTTACCTTCGTTTGTCATTCGTCCGTCTGCAGCCAATTTACTCTTAAATACCGCAGCAACAATTTCGGTGTCAAGGGTCAGACAGACAATGGAATAGGTTCTTCTACGAGCAGAATACAAACTGACTGAATGAATATCGTCAGATTTTTTATAGCTTAGGGGCCGTCGAGTATCATCGTTGATATCAATGCCTAGGTAAACTGCGTTATTTCCAAACGGTGAAAGAAAAATGATCAAATTAAGACAATTCATTCATTTTCTAAAAGTGCCCAAGCATAAAAAATAGGTCTTGCTTCCGAAAAAGGATGAAGTGGAACCAGGCACTGGTTTTAAATTAAATTTTATAAACAACAGATTTAAATAGATACATAATTTGCATTAGGTCAAATCCAGACATCTCATGCCAGTAATCCACCTGAAATAAAGGCCAAGCTTGGCCTATTAGTCACCATTTGGATTACGAGGCTTATTGAAACCAGATGCGTAGCTTGAGTTTAGAGGCACGACGGATGCCTCTGTAGAACCTGACAAAACAAAAACAAAAGCCGACAAAATTTTTTGACAGTGCTCCTACAGTCGGTATGGTTCAGTGGAACCTTATCTGAAGTATATGGCAATGCGATGTTTGCCTTCTCTGTTCAGAACAGCAGTGGCTCAATCGCTGACTGGTATCTTCGTCGTCTATTTACTGATCCACGGCAGGTGTTGCCTTGCCATGCCGCTACCTCCACATCTAGCTAATGGCTAGAAACAGATTCTGCCAGTCCACCTGTTTCCCAAAGAGCCCGCGCCGCCTTTTGGAACCGAGACGACGACACTGTCCATCTAATGTTACAGAACTGTAGCATCATAAGAACTGGGCTAAGTTTCATGGGAGACCTCGCCATGATCCCAAACCATTTTATTTTCTCATCCGGACTTAGAATCGGCAAAGGAAACTTTTGACTATATATCAAAATACTATAAAGAAATACTTATTTGCCTAATTTGATTTCAATCCAACTTTAATTTCAAGCCAGTGCCTCGTTCTGGATGAAAGTTATTCGGGAAGCCACACCATCTCCTTAAATGACTGAATTACCCCAGTAAATGAAAGATATTGCATCGTTCGGCGTGGTTAATTTCTGCATGCGGTTTAGAAAGCTTACACTTTAAAATATAAATACATGATCCGATTCGGTGCAGGGGACAGTGATAAAAGAGTCAACGGAAAAAGGTGTGTCGCAAACCGATCGCCAACAACTAACGACGGTGACGTGAGTCGTCGCTGCGCATGAATTTTCGTCAACAAGCACGTGCGTGCTTTTCATAACAGCAGTCGCTTCTTAAGGATAACCGATCAGACCACCTGTTCACAAGAGACGGCTGGTGAGTCACAATAACTCGTATTATTATTACTAAACGGGACAATCGTATTACAGATCTGTGATATATTTTCCTAAAAAAATATTCAAGTGAAACGAGAAGGGAAAAACAGTCCATCGACTTCGTTCTCATACCTAGGTTGGGGATAGAATGTCGTCTATTAAATAAAGCATGGAATCCACCGAGCTTGGTCAACAGTGCTGTCATGACTGATAACGCGTCCAACCAGTCTGATTAATCATCTGACTACGTTGCACTACATAAATGGAAAGGACTGAGATGATCGAATCAAGTTACTTTCGATGCTACGGTAAGCTTTGACGATAGTAAATACCAATTTCTTAGAAAGATACATCTGTCAGACATGCAGTCAATTCGTTTTGACGAACTGTTGCCCCTTCGGGAAGGGAAGGCGACAACTGCAGACAGGGACTTTAAGCTTCTCGATCCTGTGTCAGCACTTGAGATTTGGTAGAAGATAACGAAACAATTGTCTCAACTTATTCCTGACCGTTTAAGGGGTCTTCGGCCGGTCGACTGTGCAAGTAATAGCTGTTTTGCGTTCCTTTCTCAAAAGCACTAAAAACCAGAAGCAGAAGCAGCGTCAGAACGACTTGGACCTGCTCAGATATGTTGTCGTAGCGTCATCAAAGGCTAGCAGAGTTTAAACAGTGAGTAGGACAGATTTATGATTTTTCACTTTTAGAAG